GTAGTCGAGATTGAAATTATTGCTTAACGAGGCACGATATGCTAAATTAGAAGGTCTGAGAATTGATAATCATAGTTAAGGATATGCATATTGATCGATTTGCAGGAAAATGACATTTTAGTTACGCGATTTAAGATAAATATGCTGGATTAAAATATACGATCGATGATTGTATTATTCTTAGATTAAGATGCAAGATTAAGAATTTATTCGGATCTTCTAAGTGGAAATATGCGCAGAAATTTTGAAGCTTTTATCGAACGTGTGAAGTCTGACTCAGTGAGATGTATTAGATGTGATTCAACAGTATAAGATTTGTTTTTATCTTACGTGCTTCTCATATTATTTACATCATTATTTTTATTATCATTGCAATATTAAAATGAAATAGTACATATATAAAATTCATTTTAAAATGTTATTACTCGGGGTTAACGCAATCTTTGAAAAGAGAGATTCGATTACAAATTGTGTTTTTTTCTCAAATTAAAACGTTAACCTCCTGAGATTTAATTAAGCTACAAAATTCAAATTTTAAGGAAATATAAACGAGAATAAAAATAAATACAAATCGGGGCGATACACTTTATTCAAAAACAAAATGGATTAAACCGTAGTTTAAAAAGCAATTAAGAAATTATGATATACCTATACTATCACTCAGAACTATATTGTTACACATTACACGAACATAACTGAATAAAAAAACTAACGATCAAAAATGATTTTCTCCTCTCTTATCCCGTTTCTTCAATCCGCAATTGAAATTAATAGCTACCTATTACATGTACGAATGTTAAAGAGACACATGACGTTTAGAAGAAATATTAATAAAATAATTACGTTCGAAATTTAAAAAATGCCCTTACATCATTTGCGCAGAATAACCGATCATTCTCAGACCTATACCATCAATAAAAATCTTTCGATATCCAATAAAGGAGTAATTATTACGAAGACAGCTTGGTTCGTTCAATCAGTTATTTCTTGCTAAGGATGCTATACAGGTATATTGACTTATAAAAAGCCCTCTTTGATTACTTAATTAAACTCCTCCCATTTCTTTCCTCTTTATTCCCACAAATTTATATTCCAATAAAAATGAATTTAATCAACCAGTATCACATAGCTTTCAGGGCACGAATAAGATTCGAAATATTGAAAATTGAAACAGACCATTCTCTAGAGAAACATTCTCGCCGACTATTGTCGGGAATATCCAAAGGGTGAGCGCATGTTGCTTCGCCCAAGGAAGCATCCGCGAGGTGAAGGTTATTTCGCGATGGTATGTAAATGGAAGCGCGGTCAAAGAAGGGAGGTTAAATTTCGTCGAATCCGACCTTCGTGGGATGCGGCGTCGTAGATTCGAAGGACCTCGGCTATTCAACCAGGTATACGCCTATGTAGGTGAGTCGAAATCGTCTGACCCCGCGTGCACGCGACGACTTTCCCTTCTCCCGTTTTATTGATCCACCCTCCTATACAAATAAGCTCGAAGCACCCTCTCTCTCCACGTACTAACTTCCAAGGAAATCCACCTCGTCGACTGGACGTTCACCTCCTTCCATCTCCTAGTCTTTCCTTCCTCTTTTTTCACTCTTTCTCTCTCTCTCACTCTCTCTCTCTCCCTCACTCTCTCATTCTCTCCTCACCTTTCCTATCCCTTCTGTTCTCGAGAATCACGATCGTTCCCCCGGAATAAACGTTCGTGTCGCGTTCGCCGGAAATAAAATAAAAATACTCGAAAATAATGTTATTGTCGGCAGAGCGAAATGACTTATATTGGTCTCGGCGTCGCTCTTCAGAACAAATATCGCGAAATAGTGGAAGTTCCTTAGAAACTCTACCCGGATACGTGCTCTCTCCTTTACCACCGGTGCTCTTTCCTCGCCGGAAAATCATAAAGTGGAGCGAAACTGAAAACAATGCAGCTAAGTCGAGATGATTTATATTTGTTTCTGTTCCTGGACGGTGAACGTCAAGCGTTGGAATTCAATGAAAATTGTACGCCGTCTGACAGTGATTTCTGCCCGACAGTATAATTCCGAGTTCTTTTGGGTGAAAATGTCACTGGCAGATTTCGTTTTGTATTCCTGTAATGCTTAAACTTGCGCAACAAAAATATTATAATCTGGTTACTCACAATAGTACATCGACTAAAGATTATAAATTTGAAAGTAAGGAGAACAAGTACGATGTTGATTCCCAAGGACTTATTTTAAAACCTATCTCAGACGGATGCTGAATTAACAATTTTAATTAGATCTGCGCCGAAAATAAATATAAATAGATTTCGAAAGGTTAAAGTGCAGAGCGAATAATGTATTAACGCGTATTCTTGATGCTTCACGATTAGCTTTCCGAGTAAACGATAACGATATCTGGGATTAAATTTAAATGAAGTTAAATCAGAGTACAGATGGTCTTTGCGATGATATTTGTACCTTTTCTTTCCCTTCTTAAAACTTTATCAAGTATATTTTACTTTAGCGTCAGTTGTCGAAAAGTGGTAGATAAAATTAAAATTTACGTAAAATTCTGTAGACAAGTAGATGTCTATCAACGGATGACGAAAGTACACTATTTCGTTATCATAACGATCAGATACTCATGCATTAATAAAGCTCGTAGAAATAATAAGAAGCAATACTTTTTATTCACTTTCACCTGAATTCGCTAGTTGCATTGGAGCGCGTAATATAAAACTTACAAAATTCAGTAAATCAAAAGTTTCGTTACACCCCAACCAAAGGAAACAGAAACTGTCTTCATTGTATTCCATACAGTTCAGTAGTACTAGTAGGCGTTCCTGTTGAGTCACTTGACTCCCCAGAGCATGCGCACGGTGACTGCAGTCTCGATCAGCCACGGCATTCTCCTTTTAACAAGCATCACTGTCGAACAGCGTATAAACACCCGCTTCGAGTTTTCCAAGGAGAATCGCGAGCTCTCTTTGAACTAAGCATCGCACGGTATTTATGGCGGACGAAACAAAACAGTTTAGCCGAAGCAGTTAAATCAAAATGATTTACGCGGTGTAGCGAATAGCCGTGCGCGATAATAGGTATCGCGAAGCGACAGAAGCACGTTGGCGACGCGTGGCCGGGCGTAGTACGGGCCGAAGGACAGTTCATTCATCGGTGTCAGGCGTCACAGCGAATTCGCGAGATTCTCGTGAGAGTAACGCGGTAGGAGACATATATTTCCCGGTGAAATAAATGAACGGGCTGCGCCCCTATTGTTGGGTGTTGGTAATTAAAGTCGTAGGTTCACGGTTACCGATCTATTCTAGTAAATTGCATCGGCCGGGACCGCCGCGGACCACTTTTGACCGGCCAGCATATTACGGCCGAGATTTACGTCTTGTTAACGTCACGGTTTAGTTACTGGCCCGCGGCCGGTCCGCGGACTTGCGGACACCGCTACAAATCATTCTCAATAATCCGCGCGCCTCGCCGTGCGCGTATTGCCTCGTGACTAAATTTAACCGCGAGATTCCGCTTACACGTAACCTCGTTGATCTTTCGCGCCGGTGAATTGTTGTGACCGGTTAATTGAATTGAATTATGCGCCTCCTCGCAACCGCGGTTTCGGGTTCTAAACGGGGACCCAACGACGAAGTTACCCACCCCGAAACGCTGCTAACGGATACGACTGTTCAACTGTCGAATCTTCTCTTCAATATATCTCATATTTTCCTCATAGTTCCGTGATACTTATTATGTACATACGTATATTCATGCTAGGGTGAATTGTGTAACAGTGGAATTTAAAACGTCTGTCTTTTGTAATGGAAAAAATGTGTAACGAAATGTTGGTTTGAATTTTATGTTAAAATCCTTCTTTTTTTGATAATATTAATTTAAATAATTGTATTATTTGCTTATGTTTGTATATAAATTAAAATAATATGCTAATTTTTTGTAAAAGTATTTGAACGAGGCCATACTTTCCATAACACCGCAACATTAACGTGTAACTTTTACTTTTATAAGATTTTTCTATAGAAAAACTGTGTTTAAATATTACTAATAAATAAGTACATCTATAGACAGCTTGGATTTCTTATCTCTGTTTTCCATAATTTTATTATGCAATAGATGGTGGTAAGATCAATAAGAGGTATAGCACATTTTGCATTTCTTATGAGTAGAAACGGTCAATAGTCAGCAAACGCGACAACCACTTCAGGGATTAGCTTGCGGTTTCGTTGATTTTCTAAAAAGTGGAGAAATTAAAAATATTTTGTCTGTAGGTGTGCATAATTGCATGAAGTGACTAAAACAGTGATTCATATTGCGGTACAAAAATATATGGAATTTTGAATAATATGTCTGTATGTACGAAAAAAAAATGTAGAAGTGCCTAACTAGATTTAATCTTTTTTTTTAGATGATTTTTACTCCTGCTTATTATAAGACTATAATTATTATTGTTGTATAAATCTCAACGGAAAAGCCACATAAAAATTTGTACGTCGCAGCACATGGAAACATGAATTTAATAGTAGTATTAAAGTATATTCAGCAACCCTATATAGTTAAACTAACATCTCCCCAGTCCACAAGAGTATAAAAATCCCCAGATTTGTTATATTTACACCATTAACACCTTCGAACTGCAAGCATTGTCTCAACAAGATCTCCGTGTTTCCTGAGACAACAAATACACCCAGGATGATTTACAACTTCCTGTCGTACTTCTGCTCCACTGTTTGCGTTCGGAAAATAACTACTCCGCCATAAACTCCGCTTAACTTAACAGCAATGTATTCGTTACAAGATCGATCGCGCAGCTTACTAGTCAAGAGAATAATTCTCGTCTTTGGACAAACTGCGAGAATTCATTACACTCTCATCGGAAGGAACGTCATTTTTATTTAAACCGAAACAATTATTTTCCTTCGCTGATAGAGAGCCACATTATATCAACTAAAAAGCGTAACTGATACCTCTTAAGTACTAAGCATCTCAATCATCGCGCCAATGAAACGAACTCACCTCCTCGCCCCGGACGTCCCTGTATCGAACCCATTTCCCGAGCTTCGGCCTCCAATATTCCAGCATGTAAGCTTCCGAGAATTCGACACCTTCGCCGTTCCCGAAGCGTCCTTGAGTGCCGGTGGCGGTGATCATGTGGACCGTGTGAAGATCGATTTCCAGCCACTCGCGTGGTTCCGTCGTGATCTGCAGCTTCGGGCACCAGGCGCCTCCGTGGCTCTCTTGCCTCAGCCTGCAAGGGTAAATATTTACTCTGGGATTACCGTCGTTTATTTTTTTGTCCTCCCTCCATCTTCCTTCGTGGCTCTTTCTCTTAGCGGGAAAAACCTTTTTTTAACGGCCTCAGCCCGGAAAAGTGGTACGGCAAATCGTTTCTTGGGAACTGACACCCTGCAAACGCGGGAGACTAGAATTCTTTTTTATAGACTTAACACGCTACCAGCCAGTCCACGTGGAAGAAGACTGTGATCATATGTTTGTATTTGTGTTCCAATTTGTAGTTGGTTTTTTCACTTATATAAATAATCTTATTAACGTCGGTGCTCCTGTCAGAAATTAAATTTTTATTTCATTTAATTTGATACCATGTTTCGTGTCCCCTCAGGTCGTAAGTCGTGTTTATTACAACTTGTGTGTTAGCCTGATGCTGTGAAAATCGCTTACGTAGACTTAATGATATCAGTTGGGAAAAATGATATTTGGAATCGACGATACAACCGGAAGAAGCAATTCTGCATTAAAATTTAAGAAAATACAGAATACAATTTCTTTCATTCGTAACTACCTTCTCGTGACAATCAAGATAATACGTTCATTAAGTTGAACACTGACAATATAGTGGAATAAAATTAATTTTATATAAAAACATAAATTAATAATGTAGAATGAATTCTTTTCGTTCAAAATTTTGTTTTCCAGAAAATACATTTCAAAATTTCGTTAGACTTGTATACAGCTAATTGTTGATAAAACAATTCTATTTTACGACAGATTTACTCATAAACGAGACCTCAGCTGAACAAATTTTATCCCACTTTCAGCTCCCGCCGTTATACCGAATTACAAAGTCAAAACTAATATTATTTACGAGACATCAGCAACGTCAGTGAAACTTTCCAAGAATTAAAATTTCGATTCCAGCGAGCATAATGCGATAATTATCAAATCCCCGGAATAAACCGGATAGACTCTTGTAGGTCTTTTCATTAAAACGCTTGTATTGAATCAGCGTATGCAGACGTTGCAATTGACGTGCCGATAAAAATCCCTCGATAAGACGAAGTCGAAAGAGGATGGAGGGATATAATCGGAAATGTTACATCGTTGTAGAAAGGAAATCGTATAAATACGTGATCCTCCACGCGGCTGACGGGTAACCGTCACCTCGCGCCGGGGCGATACGGGGTGAAATTATAATTTATCGATCGAGTCGAGCCACCGGATGGCATGAATTAAAGATGAGCCGGTACCGGCGCGCCGCGAGAGCCGCCGCGCGCGGGGAAGCCACTTCGAGCCGGCTAATAATTGTATTCGCACATACCTTTCGCGGGCTCGTCTGTGGCATTAAAAAGCCCCTCGCCCGTGATTGCCGCGAAAAACGCGTCTTTCGCGCGAGGAATGCCGCTGCGAACTTCTGCCGATCCTCGTGGAAAACCGGGGGAACGCGTCGGAGCTTGAATCCAGTGGGCTCGTTTCGTCGTTTGACATCTTATTCTCGGTGCTTAATTACCATTTTAGTTTCTCATTAACCGGTATCTCGCTCTATAAATGTTTTACTGCCAGCGGGTCGCATAACGCGCGCGATACGCGAGGATGCGATTCCCGGAGACTTCCTGGCACCTCTTCCTACGCGATGAATTATTAACGAACCACTTTGCAGGCAGATATATGCCATACATCATTCCTGATGTATTTGCCGCATTTGATTTCACTGTGTTCGCTAGGCAGGCTGATTCTAAGTTAATGTTACGGAATGCGCTTACCTGCGAGGTAATTTTAATGAATTTCGTACGTGTCACGCGCGGCTACACGTGAACAATTGGCGTCGATCTTACGTACTTCTCTAATATGTTTCTATACCTTATTCGAGTGATTATGGGTTGTCATTATTTGTGCTTTAAATAAATTAAACATCCGGAATGCGCTTGGAAAAAAATTATCTGACTGTACAGTAAATCGAAGAGCCGGTCTATCAGTGTCATCATTAAAAATTCCTTCGACCTGAGATTTAGATCGAAGCTTCTCTCCGCACCGTCAGTTCCAAACTCAATTTTAAGTTTAAGAAAGAAAAAAAACTTGACGACCAAATCGTTCAGCCGAAGATTACTTTTCGAGCAGCGCCGCCCAGAAGATCGCTAGACGAAACCGACATCTGGGACGCAACACCTTTGAACGCGAAACGAAGCCATGAAGAAGAAAAAATGGACGATGAAAAAGCGAGCAGACTAAGCCAACCAAATTCACTCTTCGAAGGATTGTTTAAAATGATTTCTCAGTGTGTAGTATTTGACTTACACACGCTTTAACAACTTTTTTACAATGAAATACACATTGTATATGTAACCATTAAAATATAAAAAAGCCCTGCGAATTTTATACATTAATAATCATAAATATATAAAAGGCGATCAGATAAACAATTTTATTCACATTCGAGATAGTCTCTGTATTTTTATCATAATAATGTAATCCACAATATCAAAAAGAAACTTTTGTTCAACTTCAATTCTTGTAAATTAATTCTTTTAGTTCAAAGGTCCACAAAAATTCGTAATCAAAAAATGAAAATTAAAGTAAGTAAGAAATAATTAAAGTACAAATGCCATAGTGATGCACATTTTATTTAGAAAAAAACTATCTAGAAGTAGGTATATTATACACAGCTATTTGAAACCAGAGAATCACAGAGAAAATAAATTAGATCACATTTTCACACGATTATATCAATTAGGGTCAGCCTAAGTAGTCAAAAACTGATACAGAATGTCATAAATAGCGTTCACAAAACATCAAATTGACAGCAGCCATAAATCTCGCATTAAATTCAATCTAAAGTCCTCACCGCGAGCTAGCCGCGGCAATACAAAGGCAAGGGGATAGGCCGCCATGAAATTTTAACCGTCCGCACAATCTATGCTCATACAACATTCTTAACTTCCCATTAACGTGCAGATCTACTCACCGAAGGATTGCGACACGTTCGCGCGTCGCGCAGAAAATGGTGGCAATAAAGAGATGAACCATCGCCCTCTCGGAACCGTCAGAATTTTAAGTGTTGTTTTGATGGTGGACGGGGTAGTAAAAAGCGACGATGTCCCGATGCGAAGCTTTTCGTTAAGAAACCCGGGCGTTTCGGGCAGCGAGAAAGAACGAGGCAGCGATAAAAGCGAGCTGGAAAGGCGAGCGAGGAAGAAAAGAGGATCAGCGAGAAAGGTAAATAGGAATACGGAGAGAGGCGTACAGAGAGGGAGGGTATCCAGCGAGGACCATAACTCATAGCCCATTAAGAGAGCTCGAACTGCCTTGGCTGCCACTTTGATACAGTCCGAGGCATCAAAGACATTCCAAGCGCGCGCGCGCTCGCGCCACCCGGCTCCGCGATAAATCTCGGGGCAGACGATTACGCCGACTTCAGCTGCGAGCTGCCGCGTCGGCGGAATCGCCGGAAAGCGGGACCCCGCGAAGACCAAGAGGCCGATTATCGAGAGGAATGGTTTGTCGAACGCGAACGAAGGGAGTCACTCGAGCTATTCCCGGTCTTCAGACTCGCGATTCGCCCGCACGGAGATGATTTGTTGCCCCCGGCGACAGGGGAGACTAGCCCCTCTTCTTTGTGGACCCGAAGCCGTTCTGATGAAAATGTTCTTCCGTGAACGCGCCGACCTCGGACCGGCAGCGATGTTACCCGGACGCGCGAGAGGACAGACGCGAAGATGAATGACGCTGGTGAGGAGTCCTTCTAGCTTACAGCGATGGAATTTTGTTCGTCGGGGCAGTCGGACGTCGTTTTGTTTAGTTGAATTTGTCGGACGGACGGCCGTGTAAAAGGAAGGTAATGTAGTTGGCGAGACTCTTTTATAGAAGAGTATTTGGTTCAAGGTTTTCATTGAATTCGATACGAAATCTGAATTGAATAAAGAGTTAATAAGAATATTTGTGAAAATGCAGTATTAATTTATCGGTATTCCTTGCACGTTTTTATAAATTTTATACGATATTGTGCCAACGATACTTATTAGCACAGTATAAACAACGAAAAGGAAGAGTTTTTGTGTCTTGTTTTAATTTTGTAAAAGTACCTTCGATTTTCTGGGAAAATAATACCTTCAAGTACGAGTTGTTAATACTTTGTAGAGATTTTGTGAACTTAGGTTTTCGAATACTTATATTGACAAACTAAAGTCTAAGTATTCTCCGAATAGCTTTAAAAATATCAAAATATCTTATCTGAAAAGGAAGTCGACAGAAACTCACAGGGCAATCTATAATATCATTTACACGTTACAGAATCACTACGGTGAATCGGTATTATTGAAGTAAAACGATAAAAAAATGGAAAGGCGAGAGAAAAATATGTTGATAGTCCGTTGACTGAAAAAATATTCATACGTTGAGGGTATCTTGCATGGTGGCAGCAGTATCTCGACGAGAGCGAACACGTAATACGAGTTAGATGTGCGTATTTTAGGGTAAACGGAGTCGTATGGGGTAAATAGGGTATTCACCGGGAAGCCCGCAGTATCAGGAAGCCATGGGAGTGTCGTTGAAGAAGGTCTAGACGGTCTACTAGTAAAGAGTGCTCACAAGCAACGATATCGGCATTGCATCGAAAAGGCTTTCCTTGCTTTTATATTGTGGCGAAAAGGAAAATATCGCAACAGTTTCTTACACGTTACATCATGAGTTATCCTTCAAGCATTAGCAACATTTTTCAATGAAACTTTCTTGATTGTAAACACTTTTGTATCTTTTTCGCGATTTCGAGAACCGTATCTACTCATTGCAAAAATGCGTTCGTAAAATTTTATTGTCAATGTATAACATTATATTGACATTTATGCACTTATTATAACTAGGTATTAGACTGCAGCCAGATAATGATTTTAGATAATACCAATTTTTACTAATTTGACAGAAATATTCTTGGCAGAGTTTAAACAAATTTGATATTAATAATTGGTTGAGATGTTAAAGCACATAGAAATGAATAACAACAAATTAATTTTTGATAAAGTGAATATCCCCCAAGGAGCATGTGTGTGGTCTTTCATATATCTACTAATTTATAAAGACGTCCATTTGCATATTCATTGGCAGTATAATAACACAGAAATGAATACGATTGGACATTAATTACCATCTTTCCTGAAACACATTTTCTATTTTGAATTCACATTTAATAAAATCTTATTGCTCAATTCTGCCTCACTGAATTCACAATAAATTTCACGGTGTCTCATCACATTCTGCTGAACACGATCTTAACCTATGTTCAGCGAATAAGATATCCTCAAGATTAAAATGCAAACGTAAATAACTCTGGATTCGTTTAATATTCCATCGCTGAGCATAAAAACGCTGAATGACCCAGCAGACTCTTGCATTTTAATCTCGCTTCGATGATTCCTCCGAAAAACGATGAAACGTTAACCAGGAATTTTAGGGATCGTTTTACAACATGTTTTTCGGGTTAAACGATTCGCGAGCGTCAGTTCATTAACGCTGTCGGTGGTCCGGTTCAGATCTCTTGTTTGGTCTACGTTCGCCTAGTTCTCGCGTTTCTCTCTCCTTCTCAGTCCTTCTGGTCGAAGGTAATTAGCTGGCACATATAATGGAAGAATACGCAGAGATCGTGTTAACCCCTAACCCTATGATTCCTTTTGAAACTGCGCTTGATAGAACTACTTTATTACTAATAATTTATTAAAAGGAGGAAAAAATTTTCAAACTGATTCTACATCTACGTAGCGTAACAATTGAAAATATAAAGGCAATATCTAATTTAAACTAAAAAGAATTGAATATTATGAATGGTTATCAAATTCTTTTCGAAATCTTCTGCGAGGGTCTGACTCGATATTGTAAGACAAGGGGTTAACGACGTCTAAGAAGTTCGGAACGTTCGATACAAATGGGTCTGCATGCGGGACACGCCGCGTCATTAATCCTCATTGCGGCTCGAAGGCCGAATTAGACGCGCAGTTTAGTAGTCGGTGATTAATACGGTGACCGCTCGAGTCCCGATCGTGAGCTATCTCGGCCGTGGACAGGATGACGGACAGGAAGAGGATCATCCGTTTAAGCCGTAGAAAGCATTCAGAGTCAGAAACGTTATCGTGCACCGCGGTCGACGCTCCTCTTTTTGCGTTTTTCCTTTCTTTCTTTTCTGTCGTCGATCACCATCGCACAATTGCCCCGACATCAATCTGCATCCCGTTTTAAAACGTCCGCACGTCGATTCCCTGACAAATCGTTTCTTCTTTTTAGGAAGGAACGGGGTGGATATATTATTTGGCCCGATAACAAATTTATTTGGGATCTCGATGAACGACCCTGGACAAATTATTGATGGTCCGTGACAATCGACCGAGAATAAATGGAAAACGTTTTTGGAAGTCTGAAATATTGAATGGGTAAATTATTATTAGTATTTTGAGGTGATAATGCAGTTTTAATTGGTGCGTCTAATTGATGCTTGATTTGATTGTAGCAACCCGTATTTTGTGACTATACATCATTTTTAACTGCTTTTTGGAATAACTGAAACTTTAAATGAATTTTGGGATGAAGATAATGAAGAAAGCAAGAGTAATAAGTTCTTGTTTAATACTATTTATTGTGAAAAGGTTCGTAAAAATAGAAATTTCTACATCTTCTGCGATAAAATAGATATCCGCCAACAATTGATAGAAATACCCTACTTTATTTTTATAATTATCAAGCATTTATTCCTCACAACTGAATAGCATGTTTTACTTGTCTATCTTGACTACCACGATTACAATATCCTGCAGAACAGTGTGCGGTAAATTTGAAGAGGAAAAGGACGACTCGCTAATCAGCACGCGTAACATAAAGTTCACGTTCGAGAATCCTATATAAAAGTTTCAATTTTACTATGGCACGAAACTTTCGGAATCCTAAATTGAGGTATTCACGCGTTCCTGGCTACATATACTGGGCGGGCTAATAAAAACTTTGAAAGCTAATTGAAACGATTGTGATGTCCCATAATGTTCTTAGCAATCTGTGAAACGATTCGTTTGTTCTTTCGGAGAGAGTTTGCAGAGTGTCTTTTCCCGGCGAGCGGGCTCCCATTTATCCTCAAATAGGTCACTTAACGAAGCGCGCTGATTTCGGGAAATTGCATCTCTGTTCCGCGTCGCTCACAAAGGGGTTAATTTTATCATATTTCCGAATGCGTATTGCATCGCATCTGCATAATGCGCTCCATAAACGAGACGGTAATACACGGTAATTCACTCACCGTCCGTGATGTGGCCCGACGTTTCCGCTATCGAAACTCGAGCTCGCTGTGATGTCTGCATCGGGAATCACGCCAGATTCCATCCCCAGGGGTGCGATGCATTGTGCTGCAAACAAAGGAAATTGCTTTGATTATATATACGTCCATATTCGTTCCGCCTTGCTCTTTCGTTCCCGAGCAGCGTAATTATCATTCGTACGTTTCAATTGTTCGATACGATCATGGTGCTAATCGTATCATGGGAATATCTTTGCGAATTTCCTTTCGACAAATTTCTCCGATACTCGCAGCAAAAATTTTCAATCGATATTCAACGATTATTGTTTAAAGAATATTTACGCTTTTGTTTATAATAATAAGAAGGGTACACTTTAACTTTTGCTTACATAATTTCAAAATCAGTTCCATAACGGGAAATTATATTTTACGATAGTATTAAATATAAAGAAAAATAATGCGAATTATTTATATTTACAGATGTTTTCTACAAATAGACACGAAAACAAATCAGAAAGTAAGTCGTTTGAATTTGAATGAAAAAACACGATTTAACAATAGTATAGAATAACAGAAAAGGTAAAATATAAATACGTATACTATACTCTAACCCCTTAATATTCACTACAGGACAAAATTTTATCTATATATATAAATAAGAAATAACGAACAAAAATATATTGAAGTGCTTATTTACTTGTTATTCGAAGCATTATTACCTCTTTACATATTACTACACAAGTCCACATATTGTTTTTTGCAATCAATTTGTTGAAAATATTAAAACAGAAAGCTCCTTATTCTTTAATACATTACTGTTAATGATTTACATTTCTATTTCCATAGATCATACGAATAAATCAATTTGCTGAAAATAAAGAATAATTATTCTCTGAATGAGGTATCTAATTATCAAGAATTCATTTGTTTAAAACATTGTACTATAATCTATAGCATAATATCAACAGCTCCAGAACATGTATACCAATAATTCAAACATCTTTACTAGTATTATAAACTTATATTTGATTATCCTACCCGAATACATTGAAAAAAGGCTAATCTTGCTAAACTGTGACCGTTCACGGATTTAAACGAGCCGTGCGATGATCGCGCACGATTTTCGGAGCGGATTCAGGAAGCAGCTGTCGTTGACCGCCATTCCGACCGGCCGGATTTATCGAGTTTCCCGAACCGCGAACCCCTACGCTGGCAACCGAGTTTCTCGCTAAACGAGCGTATATTATTTTCCTATTCCCGGGAACCGCGATCTCGGCGGCGTTTGTTCAAACAGATCTCGCCCGCTTTGATGATTTTCCCCGGGCGCGAGTCGCTTTTTATTCGGGGACGGCGGTGGCGACGGCTCGATCCGGTCGCGTGTTCCACGACCGTACGGTGGCCGGGCACAGACGTGTAATTTCGGATCGTCGAAAATGTTTCTCGCGCCTCGGACTCGTGATTGAAAAGCATTTCTCGGTATCGCGCCGGCTACGGTATCGTAATTATCGCCGGGCGCGCAACACATCGGGGAAGAATTGCACGACGTATCCGGGGCCCGTTCGCGTCGGCCATAATCGTGAGTTGCCCGAGCTGCGTGTTGCGAGGAAGCGGCGTTCGAGACGTGTAATGAAACCCCGATGAACCCGAACCCCGCCGAATATAACGACCAGGAATTGTAGGATCTCCTTCGGGATCACATTCTCTGCATCGAAATAAGATTCGACTTAAGCGAAGATCCCTCGCAGAAATATTTCTGCTTGTTACGTGATATACGTCACGTTCATTTTGTTATTACTTTGTTATTACCGGAGACGTGATTATAGTGATGTTCGTTTGATGATTGCACGGATATTTCTGCGGAGAAAACTTGGCTGATGGAGAATCGAACTTGACTGCATCGACCACTTTTCTCTTAAATATACGATTTTAGTAACGAAAATTATGTTGTGTAAGAATATTTTTGACCGGTTCCGTAAAGCCCATGTAATTGTAAATTCAAACAAGTAACTTAAAAGAATCTCGAACTCCTTCGGTCTTCGTGAAAAACTGTTGCATTCAAACTAGGGAAATTTTGGGGGATTATAAATGCACGTCCATAGACATAGAATTTAACTTTGTGGTAGAAGAAGTCTGCGATTATTTCGAAAACTAGAAGGAAGCGTGGGTTTCCTCAGAGGTAAAAAGTTGTTTAAAGTAATGACCTTGATAACATATTTCAAAATCATCAAAATCGGTGTTGCCTACACCATTATGTATACATTTATTATATTTATATATGTATACCTTGTAAACTAATAAATTCCTACACCTGAAACTAAAATTTAGTCTTCTTTCATCGGGCACCGCCCATACATGTAAATGAAGTTTTAATATGGTGCCTCAAAGTAAAATTAACCCTACTTTATTTTGAATAATAATACTAGCTATAAACACAGAACATTCACAAGTTGATATAATAATAATAATTATGTAGCCAACAATCCTAAGTACAATGTAGTACAATTTAAATCACAATTCTCCGAAATTTAAAGATGCAAAATAGAAATATGTGACACAATGTTGTTCTTGATCAACCAGTTGCTCCCAAGGCCAATCGAAGTACAGAAACAATTTAACGTACACGTATCGACAACATATTTTTTCACGAGGTTCAAGTTGTAATCCGCGTGGTAAGGTTTCTCATAAATAAATTTTTAACGATGTACACACACTGGTTACAGGCAAGTCGCGACCTCATGCAAGTTTTACGACTCGACGGCCGCTTATTTCTGGTAATTAACTTCTCTACATGGAGGCACTTGTTCCCGGGAGTTGAAGCGACACGCGTACAACACCGTTTTTGCCGCTTGAAATTTCGCCCCGTTGGTTTTTCGTTCTACCTCCGCCACCCCCTCCTTGTGACCGTCCAGTGAACGCTAACACTGTACGACTACAACGTAATCCTTTCAACGGGAATTTCAATTTTTGTTATTTGTTTCTTCAATCAGTTGCGGCAGTAAATAACAACCTAGGTGCCAAAATGAGCCAATGATTAATCGACATATAATTATGCTATGGATATTTACACAAAGCCATATTTTTATGCGTTACGTGAAAATATATATCTTTTATAGAAAATATTCGTAAATAAAATATCAATGTTTATAAATTTGATTATAAGTGAATACATTAATGTACATCTTTTCCTGATTGAAAACATTGGAGACAATATGCTATTTATTTATAAACATTATAGTTTCATTTTAAATTAATTCTAAATTCCAATGTAATTAGTAAAACCTTTATAATCGTAAGCACTTTTAATCAGTTTGCAGTGCTTTATAATTATCCTTGCTGAAAGTAAAAATTACACGTAGTATTTTTCAGAAAAACCATATAATATAACAATGGAAATTCTAATAACAAAGTATACTCAAAACTTGTATATTACTTCGTATATTTAGTATTTCTTAGGAACAATAATATTCTTGGAATTATAATGGTTTAGTAGTACAAGGATTTACAATTCCAATGGACACATCTGTGTCAAGTTTCCAGATGCTACCGATGTCAAACAACGACACCGAAAATAAACGAAGTTCAGAGCGGTTTTGAACAAGCATTTCGTAAATGGAGCAGATCTTAAGTTGAATGTCACGAAAAGACTGCAGGTTTGTTTAGGGAGCGAATGGGAGGAAAGAAAGGAAGGCTGGGCTAACGGGGAAAGGTTCTGCGAGAGACTGATTAGAGGGAAAGCTGGTTGCGAAGAAGCAGCAGGAGAAAAGAAAACACGGTCACGAGATTACGAGAAGCATCCGAACAAACACCTTAGCTTTAGTAATTCAAGTGTAGTTAGGAAAAATAAAGCTAGAGTTTGGACACACCACTTGTGGCTGGGGACTTGAGCGCAGCCATAACACACTCTACTATTCCACGACAGAGGAAAGACTACTCTCGAAGAGCCACCAAACGAACTTGAATACGAGAAGTTTCCTCCAAGTGGAGCAAATGCTTCAAGATGCGGACTGAAACTCAACAATACGAAGTTTCTACGGAACAAGAACTTGTCCATTGCCTTAACACGTTGCGGTTTAGACGTCTGAGAGTCTATAAATTATTTCTTCTAAGTGAAATCGTTCCAAGAGAAATCAAAATCTTTGTTGAATAGTTAATGTATAAAATAAATACTTCCATAGCACGAAGATTGCGATGAGAAACTTTCGTAAAACTAGACTGATACTTGTGTCGATGTTTAAAGAAAAATAATTAAAAGAAAAATGTTTAACATGTTATTATAATCGGTACGATTGATTGAAAACAGCCACGTCATTAGGTATTTTAAAGATGTATTTCAAATGGTTTATTCAGCAAAGATGATTGATTTCTATTGTAAAAAGTTTTATTTGCTGATGTTTTATTTGCAAGTCGTAAAGTATACACGCGAAGTAACAGAAAACACTTTAATTAAATAATTAAGAAGCAGAAAGTATATTAACAATCACAGATTTTACAAACAATCCGATGCACAAGTTTATCAGCTGCAATTATTTTCATTGAATTTCATGATATTTAATAAAATCACATTCAGCTATAGAGAAACGAAAACATTTATGATACATTATTAAAGAAGACAAACATGTTTACGGTAAAAATATTCGAATAAAATATACGCCACCGAAAACACAACGACAGTAGCTACATCCTCCTCAATAAATTATCATCTAAACGATAATCGTTAGTAGCTCCCCTAGTCCACCCCAACCAGGAGGTCGCGGGAACAACGAACAAACTCGTGTCGCCCGGTGGCTGGGTAGGCAGGTTCGATCCTCGTATTTATAGACATCCTGGAAAAGAGCATCGAAACGAGAAAAGAAGAAGTAAGTTATGCGACGTTTGGCCCGCCCCAGCCACTCATTCGGCGACCATAACTCTCGCGGAGTGGCAGCTCAGAACGGAAGGGTGTGTGCCGCCCTCCTTCCGCGAGAAGAGGGAAATTGAATGCCTCCGCAACCCCTCTTCCTAGCATCTTTTCCCCACCAACCTCCTTCCCGTCACCTGGTCCTCCTTCTTCCTCTCTTAACCGTGTCACTGTCAAATTGATAACCGCTCCTTTCTCCGGGGACGAAGAGT